ACAAGGTCCTACTATATAGTAAACCAAAGTATCCAGACTAACAAGGTCCTACTATATAGTAAACCAAAGTATCCAGACTAACAAGGTCCTACTATATAGTAAACCAAAGTATCCAGACTAACAAGGTCCTACTATATAGTAAACCAAAGTATCCAGACTAACAAGGTCCTACTATATAGTAAACCAAAGTATCCAGACTAACAAGGTCCTACTATATAGTAAACCAAAGTATCCAGACTAACAAGGTCCTACTATATAGTAAACCAAAGTATCCAGACTAACAAGGTCCTACTATATAGTAAACCAAAGTATCCAGACTAACAAGGTCCTACTATATAGTAAACCAAAGTATCCAGACTAACAAGGTCCTACTATATAGTAAACCAAAGTATCCAGACTAACAAGGTCCTACTATATAGTAAACCAAAGTATCCAGACTAACAAGGTCCTACTATATAGTAAACCAAAGTATCCAGACTAACAAGGTCCTACTATATAGTAAACCAAAGTATCCAGACTAACAAGGTCCTACTATATAGTAAACCAAAGTATCCAGACTAACAAGGTCCTACTATATAGTAAACCAAAGTATCCAGACTAACAAGGTCCTACTATATAGTAAACCAAAGTATCCAGACTAACAAGGTCCTACTATATAGTAAACCAAAGTATCCAGACTAACAAGGTCCTACTATATAGTAAACCAAAGTATCCAGACTAACAAGGTCCTACTATATAGTAAACCAAAGTATCCAGACTAACAAGGTCCTACTATATAGTAAACCAAAGTATCCAGACTAACAAGGTCCTACTATATAGTAAACCAAAGTATCCAGACTAACAAGGTCCTACTATATAGTAAACCAAAGTATCCAGACTAACAAGGTCCTACTATATAGTAAACCAAAGTATCCAGACTAACAAGGTCCTACTATATAGTAAACCAAAGTATCCAGACTAACAAGGTCCTACTATATAGTAAACCAAAGTATCCAGACTAACAAGGTCCTACTATATAGTAAACCAAAGTATCCAGACTAACAAGGTCCTACTATATAGTAAACCAAAGTATCCAGACTAACAAGGTCCTACTATATAGTAAACCAAAGTATCCAGACTAACAAGGTCCTACTATATAGTAAACCAAAGTATCCAGACTAACAAGGTCCTACTATATAGTAAACCAAAGTATCCAGACTAACAAGGTCCTACTATATAGTAAACCAAAGTATCCAGACTAACAAGGTCCTACTATATAGTAAACCAAAGTATCCAGACTAACAAGGTCCTACTATATAGTAAACCAAAGTATCCAGACTAACAAGGTCCTACTATATAGTAAACCAAAGTATCCAGACTAACAAGGTCCTACTATATAGTAAACCAAAGTATCCAGACTAACAAGGTCCTACTATATAGTAAACCAAAGTATCCAGACTAACAAGGTCCTACTATATAGTAAACCAAAGTATCCAGACTAACAAGGTCCTACTATATAGTAAACCAAAGTATCCAGACTAACAAGGTCCTACTATATAGTAAACCAAAGTATCCAGACTAACAAGGTCCTACTATATAGTAAACCAAAGTATCCAGACTAACAAGGTCCTACTATATAGTAAACCAAAGTATCCAGACTAACAAGGTCCTACTATATAGTAAACCAAAGTATCCAGACTAACAAGGTCCTACTATATAGTAAACCAAAGTATCCAGACTAACAAGGTCCTACTATATAGTAAACCAAAGTATCCAGACTAACAAGGTCCTACTATATAGTAAACCAAAGTATCCAGACTAACAAGGTCCTACTATATAGTAAACCAAAGTATCCAGACTAACAAGGTCCTACTATATAGTAAACCAAAGTATCCAGACTAACAAGGTCCTACTATATAGTAAACCAAAGTATCCAGACTAACAAGGTCCTACTTAATATATAAAACCAAAGTATCCAGACTAACAAGGTCCTACTTAATATATAAAACTAAAGTATCCAGACTAACAAGGTCCTACTATATAGTAAACCATAGTATCCAGACTAGACAGGTTTAACTCCATAATTAATTCAGAATTTAGAATACTAAGGTTCTACTATAAACATTGAAGAGGTTTAATTGTACATAAAAAAATGAATTAAGTTTTAAGCACACAATGTTGTCCAGACAAGCTGTTTTCTGTGTCGAATAACACGACTTAAAAAGTGTTACCTAAAATATATTGCTTGGTTGAAGACAAAAAACTATGGAAAAAATCAATCTTTATGTCACTTTACCAGAAACAACTTCAAAAAACACATTAAAATAATTTTCTAAAATAGCAGAACAGTATCCTACAATTGCTAGAATATGACAAAAGCAAACGTTTGATTAATTACAACATATTCTGCAAAAGTTGGAAGTTGTCCATATATGTTTTTAAACCTGCTTATTTTCTGCTCATGTTTTCGCGTGATAATCACAGCTAAGAAGCATTACCAATGCACACGTAAGTAAATATCTTTCGACATTAATACAAAATTGTCTCCTAAGCATTTATCCTTTCCCGGTGGATTGCTGAAACGCCACCCCCAAAAAACCTATCTCCTATTATGGCCTTGGGAGAACCTGCGATATTTGATGAATGGACAGACGGACGGAATCTTACTTAATCTATTGAGAACATAAAAATAATTATTTCTAGCAAATTCTAATTTCTCTATGTCACTTAATCACATAAAGAAGGAAGGTCTAGAGACAAAGCTGGAAATTAGAGCCCAGACTCCCCTCTACAATTATCTACCACACAAACATTCCGTGCTGATATATGGGCCCTAGAAAGCGAACTGAGCAATCTTGCATAAAGCCTTCTGACATTTCCAATATCATACCAGAAGTAATACTTATGAACATCTCTCCGAGTCGGCGAAACGAGTCGGCGCTACAGTGTCTCGATCCTATATACACACTATTGTAAGACAATCTACCTCCATAATAACGACTTTCACAAATGAAAAATCTTCTCTGTGTTGACTTCGGCAGCCATTTTCAATTGTGTCACATGTTGACTGACAAGTACACATTGTACCTACATGTAATCTTGTAACTAATGTTTTCGATTCCGTTTTTAAATTGACGATAAGAAGATTCCACGATGCTGAAGACAAAACCAGTATAGATATTTTAATTCCTTTTCATTGTCAGAACACAAACCTATGAGGTTAAGTAGAAAAAACGAATTAGACAGAAAGATTCACCGAAATGAGGATGCATGGCGATGAGCAAGATGGCCGCGTTGTCAGGAAACCAGTGAGTGCATGAACCCCACAGATACATAGCAACTACTGCTACTAATTCCTGTGGTTCCTAAACTACAGTGACAGCCCGTTACCCGAGGTCATTTAGTACTCTGTGTAGTTTAATTAATTTCATGAGTCTAGTAATTCCTTTATGGTGTAAAAAAAACAGAACATCATGCTAGGTCAATTACTGGGTTCAATTTACACAACAACAAAAACTGCAGCTATTGTACATATTGCAACCGTTTCAAAATGTTGTTACCATTTGTCAACCATTATGTAGAAGAACTATGGATTTGCACTCTTCTATAGTTATCAAATAATGTTCAAATGGTTTGAAAATGAAACACTCCATATTTAGAAGAGTCAATGGTTTATACTGTAACAATAGTCTAACATTTCCTCCTCCTCTGTAGTACACCCCTGCAGGTCGTGAATTGTGAACAGAATATACCTGCTGTTCCCCACTGCATGTTGTTTGAGGCAACTAATGTGGGAACCCTCTGCAGAATTGAGGATTTGCTTTTGTGCCCTCTACTTGGGGGCACAAAAGCGACCAAAATAAATCTGCTGTCGCCATTGCAATATTTGGGATCTTTACATTTTCTCTCTTCTTCCTAACAACCTTTATGTTTCCTAGCGCCTGTCTTAGCAATACCTCATATTTGGCCCTAGCGTACATGTTTGCTTCCAAGTGAGGAAGGCAATGAGTGCTGTCCCCAGATCTGAACATAAGCAAAGTCTTAAAAATGGATGTTGTTACTCCATGCTAAACATTCAGCATTGCAGGTACTGACAATAACTGATTGTCAGTGTTACATGATCAGGTGAAATTCAATGCTCATGAGTGCCTTTGGCGTGACATTTTAGTGAGGTACACTCTGAAGTTGGCATTACATCTGCGCTATTACAAGGAGGCGAGTAACGCCTCCAGCACATAAACATTACAAAAATGAATGCACATCCTAAAATGACCACAGCTGTTTAAACAAAATAAAACCAAATCCAAACACATCGAAGGAGGCTACAACCAGACATCCTCAGATCAGTACTTCTGCACTTGCTACTCACAAAATTCATCCAAATAACAGTCCAGTTTATTGTGAGGGAGTTTAATGCGATTTCTAGGAACTACTTTTCTGTTACCGAATTTTCTTTCATTAAAATTAAGGTAAAGCAGAAAACACTGAATTTCAGAACTTTCTTCCTGTTAAGGATTCTCATACCACTGTCAAAAACTGTAGCTTTGCAGCAGGAACTAATTTTTTTTGCCAGAACTATACAGCTTTGATAATTTATTTCTGAAAACCATACTTTGCTGAATATTTTTTGAAAAATAATGAAGTCGAAATAATCAAATAATAATAAAAAACAGTGTTCTGATTGTAAAAATTCATCCATTCTGTGCAAGGATTCAAGTCGCTCTCATCAATTGAATTACCTGGTCAACAGTAGTATGCTGGCCCAATTACATAACAGTTATATCACAAACAAAATTAATGGGGGGGGGGGGGGGGGGGGTTGTTACTGTATTCACAGAAAATCACAGTGGAATTCTCTCTTGTTTTGCCTGTAATGGGACAGGTATCATTAAGGAATGTTTGTGAAACTGGGGCATGGAATTCAGATAATAATATTTCAAAATTGACCTGAGATTGTGAAAAGAAGACAGGCCATTCATTACCGTTCTAAAACATCAGAATGAATAATGTTACATATATACCTGTCTGGTTAGTCGGTCTTGTAGGCTCCTCCCTGTGTATGTAGAATCTGTCAGCTTTTCTGTTTCGTGGTAAGTCATTGAGTCTTGTCGACCTGTCAATAAAGATGTAAAAGTACATCAAAGTTAGACCTGTGGAAGGTTATCAAAACATACTGGCAACATCGGAACATGGCCATAAATGTCGATTTGTTTCAGCTTCAACACGATGTTTGTAAATGTCAATCATATTTATCACATATCTGCTAATTGTAGCGCTGTTTAATGCCATTCAGAGTAATGTTAAATATACACTGACATTTCCTTTCTTATACAAGTGTCTTAAAATTATAACAATATTTGTAAAGTATATTATGTGTGTATCATATCAGGACAAATCTTGAACTCCAATTTTACATGAGAAGACAGAAAGGAACCAAGAAGACACCAAAAACCAGGAGAAACAAACAATTTCGTGGAATTTATATTCCCCGCTTGCAAGACATATTGTAGGTAAACATTATTGAGGTTAGGTTTAGCCCTTAAGGCATTTAACCCTGGTACCAAGTTTGAAGAAAATTGGTTAACATTTGTTGCAGTTATTGCACGGAAACGGCAGATAATGACGTTTTTCGTTATTCGAGGGGCCATAACTCTGCCAAATAAAGTCCGCTGAAATTGGCCATCGAACTTGGCCAAGCCCTTAAGGCATGTAACCCTGTTACCAAGTTTGAAGAAAATCGGTAAACATTTGTTGCAGTTATTGCACGGACACGAAGCGTGACAGACAGACAGACGGACAGACAGACAAACCCAAATTAATAACCCCCGTTTCAGTGAAAGCGGGGGATAAAAACATCATGAAAAGACACTGAATCTGGAGATGAAACCAGACATTTCTAATGTTTCCTTAAATTGAAAGTAATGAAAATCAATTGAAAACACAAACTCCCAACACAACAATTTGGTGTTCGTAATAGAGGTCATTTGAAAGTTATTCCAAAATGAAACAAACAGTCATTGATAAGCTGTTTGAATAGGTATTGGAGGTCATTTGAGAGATAAAATATTTTAGGTGTTCAATGTATACAGTAACAATCACCAGTGGACTTTCTATGACATATTGGTAATGTCATCTCTATGTAAATAGCAGAGATAAATTCAGCTCCTTTACAATTTTTAAGCCCAGTCTAATAAAATACTTAAATTTAGTGGGATCAGCCAAGTCAAACTCTGCTAAATATCACAAAACTCATTATATTAAAATTACGGATATAATTTAATCTTCAGCTTTTATGGAACCAAGCCATGAAATTGCCAATTGAGCCATAAATGCTCAATAAATTTATACTTGATTTAAGATGAAGTATAAAAAGAATAATTTTGTTTCCACCCCTTGTGACAATGTGAGTTGGGAAGTTTTTAAAAACTTCATCCCTATCAGTCGTGTGTAATGGCTAAGCCGTTAACTCAGTCTGTCTTTGACATATCTAACATAAGGCAAGCACAGTGTTAAGGTATAGGAATGTCATCAACCAGACGATCTTTTTTTAAAACTTTGAAGATGACCCCTGCGGTAAATTGAGGCTCGTCCGCAGGGCTGCCGTGAGCCAAGCGGCAGTAATAGGGATGAATGAGGACAGCCCGCTGTCTTGATTAATATAAGTTTGATGTGCCATTTCAAATTTATAAAATAATGGCCAAATCTCACATAATTCACGGCTTTTTATGTGTTTGGGAGATAGGATGTTTATGCCCAGCGATACATTCAAAGAAAAGCCTATGTCAATTAATATAAAATCGGGTTATCCGTCTATTGTATTGAAGGGCAGTCAGCTTTAAATCCTTTTAAATTTGATGCAAATTTCTACGGATAAAAACTTTCTGTACAATTAATAAAATTCTCGATGAAAGAGTTTGGAGGATACAACAAGAAGCAAGTCTCACAGACCCCCTATTCTTCACTGGCGCAATTATGAATTCATTAAACGATAAAGTTTGGTGGGAAAGATTAAGAACAGGACAACATATTCAGGCATGAGTTGTCTTACAACCCTTTGACACACCGGAGATTTTAAGAATAGTTATGTTGCTATATCTTTTCAGGTGAACAAAGATTTTTCAAAATGACAAGTTTTTATGAGCCGTTACCAATAATGACTTGATGCTGTCTAGTATAAGGTAGCGATTACCTTTATTGGTTGCCATGGTTTCTGAATGTACCTGGCTTACCTGTGGCAATTATTGGGAACATTGCATCGAACATACCAAATAAAATCTTGATACATTTCAAAACAGTTAAAATGTCTCTTTTCAAAATATCTGTACCCTAGCTGTTAACATAGCAAAATAATGAATGGCTAAAACAATAATACTAATTGAACCAGGGATAAAGTTAATCAGTACAGTACGGTCAAACCAGAAGAAAATATTTTAGTGAAAAGTTGATATATTACCATAGTTAATGGCAGATAACTAACTTTATAGTCACTTCAATTAGTTTACTATCTTTCCATCTGAAAGTTTAACTCCATGACACTTTATTTATGGTTGAAGGTGAACATAAATCATGCTTTGATCTTCTCTAAGATACACCTGTAATTCACACAGGTAAGTGGTGATTGTAATTAACCACCGTGCTCAGCTTCATGGAGTTACTGTGTACCCAAGCAAGAAATTAGTATAATAAATGTCAACAATGTCACGCTAGGATGTTGCCTGTACCTCGATGTACAGGAAGTGTTCCATACAGTGTCATACTAGAATGGTCCCTGTGTGACATCATACAGTATGTTATCCATACAGTGTCATACTAGAATGGTCCCTGTGTGACATCAAACAGTATGTTATCCATACAGTGTCATACTAGAATGGTCCCTGTGTGACATCAAACAGTATGTTATCCATACAGTGTCATACTAGAATGGTCCCTGTGTGACATCAAACAGTATGTTATCCATACAGTGTCATACTAGAATGGTCCCTGTGTGACATCAAACAGTATGTTATCCATACAGTGTCATACTAGAATGGTCCCTGTGTGACATCAAACAGTATGTTATCCATACAGTGTCATACTAGAATGGTCCCTGTGTGACATCAAACAGTATGTTATCCATACAGTGTCATACTAGAATGGTCCCTGTGTGACATCAAACAGTATGTTATCCATACAGTGTCATACTAGAATGGTCCCTGTGTGACATCAAACAGTATGTTATCCATACAGTGTCATACTAGAATGGTCCCTGTGTGACATCAAACAGTATGTTATCCATACAGTGTCATACTAGAATGGTCCCTGTGTGACATCAAACAGTATGTTATCCATACAGTGTCATACTAGAATGGTCCCTGTGTGACATCAAACAGTATGTTATCCATACAGTGTCATACTAGAATGGTCCCTGTGTGACATCAAACAGTATGTTATCCATACAGTGTCATACTAGAATGGTCCCTGTGTGACATCAAACAGTATGTTATCCATACAGTGTCATACTAGAATGGTCCCTGTGTGACATCAAACAGTATGTTATCCATACAGTGTCATACTAGAATGGTCCCTGTGTGACATCATACAGGAAGTGGTACATACAGTGTCATACTAGAATGGTCCCTGTGTGATATCAAACAGTATGTTATCCATACAGTACGTGTCATACTAGAATGGTCTATGTGACATCATACAGTGGTCTTTATAGTGTGCAAATGATTTTTGTTCAGTAAATGTCTAATGATAAATTAACATTGTACAGATGATAACATTAACACTACTGTTAATATAAACACCAAGTTTAAACCTAAGACAGTGTTGACTGTGTGTTCTCAACAAACATATATACATTCTCCTTCACATTTTTGATATTGAGTGCCAAATATGGAAAAGAGATACAACATTGCTTACATGTTTGGTATGTAAGAGTTCCAACATTTAAACCTGGAGATTCAACCATTTGTTGGCCCTAATGACCTATCCTGTGTTGATGGGCCGTTAAGCATTTAAAAATAATAAACTTGGAGACATATGTATTTTATAAATTAAAATCTTTTAAAAAACCCTGATTTGCTGATAGATTCTTACACTGTATTTGTTACAAACAAAAAGGAAATATTACTGACAGAAGTATTCCAATACTGAACATGACTAAAACTAAACAAGGTGAATCACAGGGGAGACAACTCTGACCCTATTTTAAAAATTGATCATTTGAAATTAGTTGAAGTCTGGGTCGAAATTAATTTCACCAGTATCAGTGAAGCAATGGCTGCCAGCCAAACTTCAAAGGTCATCACATGTTATTAACAGAAATATGAAGCATGGTATCTAAATTATTACTTACCGTCAGGAAAGTATAATATATAATTAAATCAATACTTCTGTACTTTCAGGTTCTATAAATGGTAAATGTTTCTCCACCAATTGTATGATTATCATTTTCTCAATTAAACTCAATGAATTTAAAGTCTCTGCTGAAAAAAACCTAGCGTGTGCAATGTTTGAAGAATATTTAATTTGTTTTTTACATGTATGTAGTGTCAAACCAGTTCAAGGATTGCCTGTGTAAGAGACCACCTTTAAAACTACCCATAGCAGTTATTTTTCGAAAATTATGCAGTACTTAAAAATAAATAGTTAGGGCATTTCTTTTTTTAACATAAAGGGTCATAACTCTGCAAATGTCAACCATAAAAACAAAATTTCGAGAAGCTTTAGGAGAGGTTAGGACAAATCAATGCCTACAGACAAACAGTTAGAAAAAATACTATTTTGTTTGCTGTGTGTTTGACCTCTGGTCTGTAATAAGGTCATACAATTATCAAGATATATTTATTGGTAAATCATTTTGTGCCCTTACAGGGATTTCATCTAGACCATGTTTTTACCAATACTGTAGCATGTCTGTTACTGTGACTTTGACTGTGGGCTGAAAGGCTAACAGTTAAACTTTCTAAATCAACTTAACAGAGGTAACTGTATGAAGCTGAAAGTTCTAGGTAAATAGAAAATCCTTACACAGTTGTTCTTCATCACTAAGTGGATACTTCTTCATCATATAGTGGATACTTCTACATCACATAGTGGATACTTCTATATCACATAGTGGATACTTCT